CTGAAAGGATCCAACATCCAAGGAAGCACTGGGTTTTTTACCTGATTCCATTTTACAGGGTTTGCATTTTTTTATTTTTTTTTTTTCCCCAGAGCTCTTCTGGTTGCTTGTAGAAATGCTGGACTCCCAGACTGTTCCTGGGGACCTCTCATCTGGAAGTTGGCCAGATTCTCCAAGAGGAATCTCAAAAATGCAGCTGAACTTTTGTTCCCTAATTAGGCCAACTTCCCCAGTGTGAGCCCTAGTACTGCATGGCCTGGAGCTCCCCAAGGCCTTGTGCAGCCTTTCTCCTGTGCACCCCGACTGGCTGACCGGCAGGGCAGTTATTTTCAGCTTTCTGAGCTTATCTCCTTGCCTTTTGATGACATCTTCTGAAATAGTATTTCTAGTCAGCCGTGTTTCCCAGCCTTTCTAGTAGTATCCTGCCTGCTTGTCTACCTTGATGTGGATTAGGGACAATCTCATTGAAAATAATTTTATTAAAAGCTTTTCCTTTTCCACACATTTATTTCATACTTTGAGTGCTTCAGGACCCACCTCAAGTCAACAAAAGGAATGTAGGAGGTGGGAAGGTGGATGGGAAAATGTCTGACCATATGTAGCATAAAGTGGTAGCAAACTTAGAAATGTTCATGCTTAGGAGGGCTGGAGGGGCACTTCCCTATAACTATGGGTTGTGAGAGGATTCTACGTGGTGACCCCTTGTTTAGAGAATCAGATTGTTGTGTGCTGATTCACTGTTTTCCTGCAGGGGAGAGCAGTAACTCCTCAGACAGGTTAAGGTGCCAAATCCTGCAAAGGTGACAGCTTTCCTCAGGGGTGCATGTCAGCTGACAAACAGCTGGCCACTGTTTTGGGAGAGCAATTCTTGATTAATAGCTGGTTAACTATATTAACTGCTCCTTTACCTGTGATAGATGGCAGAGAATATTTGAAGGCCCCCAAGAACTTCTGTTTCAATAACACTTTCCCTAGTGAAGGAAAGCCAGTGATTGTGAAAAGAGTTACAGTTTGTGGATGAAATGTAAATCCAGTATTTTCTGCTGAGTATTTAAGACATGCAGAAGTCCTTGGAGGGTATTCATTAAAATCAGATGCAGTATTTGAACCGTCTATGGACATGATGAAGAGAGACAGAAGAGATGGGTTGTTCTTTGCAAAAAGCCCAGACTTGCATAGATCTTGGAATTGATGTGTTTTTGATATCATACATGCTCTGAGGTCAGTATAGTTTATTTTATGTGGCTGTTTAGGTGCAGTGGGGCCGTTTGACTTATAGCTCTTTAAATGGCAGCAATCAAAACTAATTCATCAGGCCTGGTTGTGGAGATTTGCTTTTCTTCAGTCAAGGGAGCCTATGGCATCTTGCTGGAGAAGAGAATCCTTGAGACTGCCCATACTTCTTTCTTTCCACTTCTTGGTCAATGGATAAAAACAAGACATCTACATACTGTGTAAAATCTCACAGTGTTTGTATATTGGAAAAACATAGATTCTATGTATTTTAGGAGAAATATGACACGATAGAAGAATTGTATGTCCTCTGTTGCATGCTTTCAATGTCATTTGAGTCCCTACATCCCTGCACAGAGTGCTCAGTGTTTCAAAGGAGCTGTCATGTTGATGAAGGTAAATTAATCCATGTTTCCAGACCCACCTGAGAATCTGAGGGACTTAACATGCCCATAATCTGCCTCTGTTGTGGTAGATCCTAAAAGAAACTTTGCTGGACCTTCAGGATTCAGAGACACACAGGATAGTTTCTTCCATGAGGGAAGCAGCATTCAAATGGCACCTTCAAAACTGTAGACGTGATCTGACAAGTAGCCTGGAAATTTCTGCTTTAATGGGGAAGCCAGATTAGAATTCTGAATCTGTCTGATAAGAAAGGGCCTGGAAAACAATAAAGAAGAAGGTAGAGTTTCTACTTTGATGCAGGAGAGATGGAATTCAGGCCAGTCATTTTTCCAAGGGAGAGATAAAATACTGATTGTGGATGTAGTATCAAAGTTATGGTATGGAAGGTGGCCTGAGAAATATTGGAAAAATGCCCTCACAAAGATGGTGAGCTAAATTTCTGAGGGAAAAAAACAAGCAGAAACAACGAAACAAAAAATTCAGACCATGGCAATTTTCCTTGGAAAAGGGACAATCTGCAGAAACTCAAGTAGAGGAGATCTTCTGGAGATAAATAATGGACGAAACTGAAGTGGAAAAGAAAATCCCAGCAAGTAAGTGATTAGTTGATGCTGTGAAAGAGACTGAGCAGCAAGGGCTGAGAGACAACATTTGTCAGGAGCTGGTGGAATCTCAGTGTTTTGAACACCGAACTGTTTGGATGTATAGCTTTATATTTGGGAATATACATACAAATCTTGCCTAAGGTATTAACAGTAGGTACCAACAAGTTCTCATCATCTAAATCCTCAGTCTTTTTCACCAAAAAGGTATGTTTAAGAGCACATTTGCTGCATTACAGAAGAACAGTGTACTCTATTTTTGCTCTGATCCCTCTGGGGTTGACATTTGTCCCACTTTCTGTCTCAAGCTCTTGCTTGAAGCTGCAAAGTCCCTACCTGTCACCATATTATGGTAAAGCATGGCATTGCATTCTCAATTGTAAATTACACTGAGATTTTGGAACTGTGAAAGTATATGAAGGTAAGTTTATTTACTTGACACAAGTGTATGTGGCATGTGACCTTATTGCAGCACTTTCCAGGCAGCTAACAAAGAATAGCTATTTCTCCTCAGCTGACAGTTAACATTGCCTTTCCTGTTGCTAGTGCTCCTGTAGGCAATTCAGAAAGAATTACCTGATTTATTGCAAGAGGAATGAAAGACCTGTAGGTGTATGTGAGGTGTTTTTCAGGATCTGACAGACATTCAGGGTTGCCTGGTGTGTATGATCAATGAGAACACAGTATAACATTGTCAAGACATTGGAGTCAAACCCTTAGATGCCCTGGGGTCATGCCTTATGCAAAGACTGGGCCAGACATTGTCATCACACTCTGATCTGGTGTGCCCCACTTGAGTTATTTTTGATCTGAAGGCTAGTTTTGATGATGAATAAATTAAATTGCAGGGGCACTGAAGTGCCCTGGACATGCTGCATTTTCCCTCAGCCTTACGGCCCAGGTTCTTTGGTGTCATTTTTGTATTCCTGTGCACCTTTGTGAGGAGTTGTGAGGCTGTGTGTCGGAAATAGGCTTGCTGGCTATCAGAGGGATAGTGTAAGGGGAAAGGGGGTTGTTTGCATGGGAAGCATCTGTGTGGGAAGGAGCGTGGTTTTGAGTTAGGGGTGTATGTAATGGGAATGAGGATGTTTATGTGGGCATGCACGCCCATATGTGGTGTGTGTTCCCACTTTTTCCTGGGCTCTGGGTGTGTCCAGATCAACTGAATTCAAAATGCTCCTTTTTTGGCACTGTAGCCTCTTCTCTGGTTTGGCATCTTAAGAATCTGGGGGAATCATTTAAAGATCAGAAAACTCCATTCACTTGGGCCCCTGAAGGCTTCACATTCTGTGACATGGTCATTCCAGTCGACTGAGCTCTGTCCCCTACGGATGAGCCCATATAAGGAGGCTGTTTCCTGCGTTTCACGCTCCCTGCCTGTCCCTCTGCCCTCCTGTGCTCCCTTTGCTGAAGAAAGTTGGTATTTTGGGACTGCAGCTCCTGCCTCATTCCTGCTCCCTGTTTATTTTTGGAGGATGACTATTTTTGCTCCTATCAGAGAGCTATGCAGGGTCATACCCCCTCCCTGCAGCAGGCAGAGGCTGCCCCTGGCAGGGTCTCTTAATTTCCCACACTCACAAACAGTGCTTCTACTTCAAGAAATAAACATGCGAGACCCCTACCATCAGGGGTTAGCTCGACTCTGTCCTCATCTGTGGCAAGAGGCAATTTAGCTTTTGCTCCGCGTTGACCCCACCACACATGCAAGGTCCTCTCTGAAGTCACAACTCCTTGGGAGTCATCCCACTCATTCACTTCCTTGATAAAAGCTGTGGAAGCCACCTGTGTCCCCACCATTCCTTTGCAGTTAGCATTTTTTCTCTGTTTTGGGACATGTTTTACCCAATCATTCTTTCTCATGATGGTCCATTCACAGATCCCTGTAGTCCATCTTCCCTCATTGGGCACCATCAACTGGGAGCTATGTAACCTGGGTTTACCTTGCATCTGCTTTTATCATTGCCTGCCCAATGTAAAGGCAGTGCTGTACCAAGTGCCTCAGGCTGGGGGAACCAAGGCCAAAATGGTAAATGGCAACGGGCAGCTTCCAGATGGTGGGAATTCATGGCCCCGTTTGGAAATTCCCATCATAAGCCCCAAGCTGAATTCCCATTTTCTCTTGCCATGTGGCAGAGTGCCACACAAGACAATGCAAGAAAATAGCAGGGGATGTCTTTAAGCACCAGATGATCTTCCTCTTTGGATTTCAGTGGTGGCAGTGGTGGGATTCATCCCAACTAACTCTGGAAGAGTTTGGGTATGGATCACTGTGTCTGAACTTGGCATCTATACTCCTATTCTAAGCAGTGGACAAAAGCAAACTTTTTAGGAACAATTCCTCATGTAAAATAAGATGTCTAAAACATGCTGTCTTGTACACTAGGAAAGGCATAATGTGATACCTCCCACTGATATGTAGGCAACAGTGATGAACAAGTTCCCAGTGAACCCTATTTTGCCAGGAGAGCACACCCTCTGTGGATCAGTCATCTACTGTATTGTGTGTCCTCCAAATGTCAAAGGCACATAGACCTGAATCTTGACAAGATAGGGTGATGCATCTTTTGTTTACAGACGAGCTTAAAAACCTGTCCTGTAGTTTTTGTCTTCCTTTTCTTTTATGACTAAAGAGCATTTTAAACACTACCTCTCAATTATTTTGTAAAGTATTACATTATTGTGTGTGGACCTGGTGTCTCAATTGGCTTGACTTTGGCTTGACCAGAGCTGTCTGTAACATGTCTCTTCTCTTTATTAAAGGTTCCACCACCTAAACCCCCACGCCGGCAAGGAGGCTGGGCGGATGATCCTGTACTGGCATCTACCAAGTGAGTCCTCAGCTCTTTCCTTATTAAGAGGGATTTAGGTGTGGAATAAAGGAACATCACTAGTTGAACCTTGCTGTCACAGACACTGGAACAGTTTTCCTGGGTCTTTCAGATGGTCTTTCTTTCCAAAATTAATGTAACTTGTTCAAGCCATTTGAAGTATTGCTTTTGCTTGGTTCCACTGGCTAATTGATTTGGAGAGGCTTAGAACTGTGTACATGTCCCTGTTTGCCAGAGGCAAATTATATTATATTCCTTACCTGGTACAGTGCCTGGAAGGAGTCAAGAGCATAATAAGCATGTTAAATGCAGGAGCTGGGATGGGGGGATTTGACTGGTTCCGTCCTTTCCGGGAGAGTGACACATGACAGCACCGCACTGACAAGAGTGCAATGAATACATCAGGATTTAGTGATCAGCCTTGACAGTAAAGGTGAAATTTGTCAATGTTTATGTGTGTATAGGGTTATGGTATAATGGAGATGGATGGAGATGGTCAGCAAGAAGAGATGGGAGGAAAAAGTATACAAATTGTAGAATGTGTGTTGAGAAGCCTGATGCTTACATGAAGGACACGTAAGACAAAGGAAGTATCTGGACATGGTATTAGAATAGGTATGAAAACTAAAGAACAGTTCAGACTGGGAGGAGATTACTTGCTTTCAAATAGTTGTGGTTCCAAGCTTAGAAGTTATGTTGATGTTGTATTTCATATTCACAGAACTGAAAGGCTAAGCTGTGGAGTGATGTGAGATTGCTTGTGTAATAATAAAAGTGTATATGTCTTAATATATACTTTGGAGGCACTCTGATTTATGAAAAGTTATGTATTTTCTTGTCTGAAACTGAGAATGGATGAGGACATCCAGAAACCTGTTATACAGTCAGTATTTTCTGGGAGGGGAAGAAAGGTGGTCTGTATTCCGGGGTAGCCTTTCCAAAAAACAGTACTTTTCTGGGAAAATTGTCACTCCATTTGTCTCTGAAAAATAAATAGTCTGGACATCTGGGGACTAGAAAAAAGCAAGGGAATTAAGATCTCAGCCTGAACTGCTCTTGCTCTCCAGTTTAACCCTGATAATGGTTATTTTTATAGGCTGGCTGCAGCTAGAAGTTGCCATTGCAAAGGTGCATCCACCTCAGGGTATTTAAAAAGTGCCACCAAAGATCCTGGATCTTTGTAGGATTGTTGGTTTGGTGAGGGACTGCACTGGGGTTAATACATATGCAGTGCTGCGCCTAATGTGCCATGAAGGACAGTGGACAGGTTCCGAATGTAACACCCCCTGTGCCATGTGCTATTTTACCATGTTTTCCATTGTTTGGCATTAGCTTTATCCTATAGGTTTGCAGCAGTAGCTGTAGGTGGTGCTCCCCCAGCATCTCAACTGCATGGGTTACAAGACATTGTAGGTGTCTGGAGTAAAGGCTTCCATGACACTGGACATGTTCATCTGGAGAAGCAGAACAGGACACAGGATTGCAGACTTTCTGTCTCTGAGAATCTGCACACTGGGATGTGAGACCAACATGTGTCCCTTGCTGAATCATGCATGTGAAATGTCATATCTGACAGTGTTCATTTATAATAAGGGTTTTTATTGATTAAATTTTATGAAGAAATTTGTTCTGACTTTCTCCAGTCATATGAGGTACAAGGGTTTTGTACAACTAATTCCCCTGTCTTTCCTTTCCTGTGTATTCTCCCCAACGTGATCTCTCTTCTTCTCTCCCTTAAAAAAGTCTGAGATGCTGGCCTGTAGGGCTTGCTTTTTGACATATCCCAGGGTAAAGCCTTCATGTGAAAACTCTGAGTCATTGGCTGATGTCATAGCAATGTTGCTGCAGCTTTGTTGTTTCTGTTTTCTCAGGCTCTATCTCCCCACAGCTTTTCAACCAATTTGACTCAGTTTGGAAGCCCATCAAGTTAACTTGCTCCAAGTTCACTAGTGTAGATGTAGTTAGAATAACATGCTTCTGTTGTTATATCTGATTTAGGTTTAAGCCCTTTTTTGACAGTGTAACTGAACCTACACTTGGGAATAGTTCTGTTAGAGGTAATTTGATTTTCAGAATTGACAATGGTAAAATCTGATATTTTTTTTTCTTTCACTTAGAAAGGAAGGATGAACAGAGTGGCTAAAGTTAGATTTTCTGTGTTGTGTAAATATACTGTGGGTCAGATGGAATACTGCAGCCACTCTTGTAGCTATTTATGTTATTCTTTCTCCATTTGAAGTCTTCGCTTTTGGTTCTGTTTCTGACAGATTCAGTCAGTTACGACTGCATAAGTGTTGCTTTTCTTGCATGGATGCTTTTCTGCTATATTTCTAGTTCAGAGTCTTATCAGTATGAAACAATCACTTGAAATTGTTCTTTTTATTTCTATTTGGCACATGTTAGAGTAGAATTTAGTTTGTAAGCTGTTTTTCTACCTTTGTGCTCTCTTTTAGTCCCTTACCTGCCCAGCTCATGTCATGCTTATGTAAACTTTTAAATATTCTCACCATCTTGCTGATTATTTCCATCAGACCGCTGCTCTCCCAGACTGTTGCAAGATAGGAAGAGGAGGAGGACTCTTAAAGTTTTCCAACGTAAATTATTTTTTAAATTAATTAGCACAGATGGTATGTGAAATACAGTATTTTATCATGAGTTCCCATAGCATTTGCAAGTGTCAGATATTGAAATTGCTGAGAACTATCAAAATGATCTATTTTATTCACGTTTTCAAATGCCAAATGTCGAAAGATTACTTTGCACTCCGGTCAAACAGCTGTCTTGCTAGGAGTCCCATTTTGTAAATCTGGGTAATGATGAGGACCGCTGTAAGTGTCTGAGCAAACCCCCAGGTCCTTTGCAAACAGCAACTAAATGGTTCAAAGTAGTGACAGAAAATTAATTTCTCCATACTGCCAGGGCCATCTGTACCTGAATCTGCTGTATCTAGTTAACCTGTACTCAGAAGAATCATTCTCTATGAGAAGAGGCGGTCTCATTGCTGTCCCAGCAACATTCCAGTCCCAGTATCAGCAGAAAGGGGACCAGCCGAGAACCTGGGCAGCCACTTGGGGCCTAGTAACCTGCTGAGATAAATAACAGTAATTACAGCTGGGTTTTCCTACAGAAGCAGCTCTCTAACCACTGGATGGAGCCCAAGTGCCATTCTGAAAGCTGTGCTGATGTCCCTAATGACATCAGTGCTGACACTTGTGACAAGCAAAGCAAGCTCTAATGTCAGGTTATCTCACGCATCAAAAGAAAGAAACACAAAGTGCCTGCCAGTGGGGGAAGGAAAAGGAAACTCAGTTTTGCATACTGGTGAGGATTTGATAAAGGAGGGATACTTCCATGATTCATTTAATTCCAACTTCTTTTGATCTTGTCTCTCTGACTTTCCTCATAGAATTTCTTCTATTTTCCTCTCTAGCAGTATCCTAATTTCTTTCCTTCTTGGGTCTCTTTCAATTTACTTGGGTGCTTGATCCCTTTGGTCTTGCAATGAGCCCCCTAAAATTCCTACAGCTCTGCAGGCATCAGCTGGGCTTGTTAAGGAATACAGCTTGTTTCGGGTAGCCCTGCAAGCAAACACAAGTGCTGCTTTCAGTAGGAAGTCCCTTCCAGTGCCTGCACATGTACCTCATTTCTTCTACATGGATGATGGCAGTTTAGCAACAGGTTCTTCAGCTACAACTGGTATTTCCCCTTTCTGACAGATAGGCCACAGAGTTGGAATAATCAAGGCTTGTTCAGGCAAATGACCATGCTGAAGTATTTTGGAACAGAAGTGGCACAGTGTCCGGCAATGGATTTGTCAAGAAGGTGCATATTAAGTGCCTGTAGGAAGGAAGAGGATGCAGTTGGGGTGACCTTTAGAGGAGGGTAACCCAGCCCCTCTAATGGTGTAGATATCATTTAAGGCTCTGAACAGTGGGCAGTGGTGAAATTGCACCCTGGAGCTGGAGGAAAGTTATTTAAGAGATTAAGGGGTTTTATGATTCAAGGTCTCTAGAGATAAGTAAAGTTAAAAACCTCCTGTTTCAAGAATATGGGCTTAAACTATCCTGTATTCTCTCTATAAGAAATGACCCCTGAGAGTGCCTGGTTTTAGAACCTCTAGCAATCCCTGTCTTGCAGATGGGAGTAGTGAAGTGCTCATGAGTTTCTTGGTCTGGGACAGAGGGGGAAAGCTTGTGTCATTGCTTCTGTTCTCTACTTCCAATCCAGCAGCATTGTGGTGAGTCTCAGTCTGGACTTCTCTGTGACACTGCCACATTAGGAGCAGAGCCAGACTCCTGGCTGCATGGGGGATGTCAGCCTTGCTCTGCAGCTTGCAGCCATCTGTGGGTGTCCTCAGTGAAGTGAAAAGTATAGGCAGAGAGGATCAAGGCTGCCAGGTGAGGGGGCACAACTTAGAAGGAGACGAAAGAAAAGGAAGTCTGATTAAGTTTTGTCTTGAAGTGTCTGTTTTTGGGTTTGTCCCTGCATTGATCTGCAAGGGAATGAGGCAAGTAATGGCCCCTTGGGGACCTTCAGGACTTTCCTCTCAATGTCAGCCGTCATTTTCAATCACCCTCTCCCTCCCAGCCATTAATTTTGGCCCAGGATCATGGGGACTTGTCCATCTATCACTCCTAATTGACACTAAATGATCTGTCAGTTTATTGATGAACGGCAGGAGTGGAATTGTCACAATATATTTTACTTTCTAACAACTCCTCCTGACAATTTTACCTTGTCCATCTCACTCTCCTCACATAAATCTCCATTGGCCTCTCATTCCTTCTCTGGGGCTGATCTGGTGCCAGCCACCTCCATGCCATCGGCACGCATCAAGGACATCAAGATGGCGGTGAGCTGCAATGTGCAGGCCCAGGGGTGGGTTTTTTCCTCTCTCTCCCTGCCCCCTCCTCTTTTTTTTTCTTCTTTTTTTTTTTTTTTTTTTAAATAGGCTGGATGTTCCAGGAATGCTAACAAGCTCCTGTCCTCTTGTCCCTTCA